GCTCCTTTTTTCCCACCACTCCTCCCCCAGCCCCGAGCTCTGCCCGGAGCTTCCCCCCTTCCCTCCCCCATGAAATCCTGTGACACTTGGTGGCCAAATGGCCCTTTCTAAGGTGCTGCTTAGCCCGTGGCAGAGCTGCTGGAGGTGGGGGGGTGCTGGTGGTGGCCCTGGCCCGTGCCCTGGGGTGTCCTGGCAGCACGTCTCGTGCCCTGGGCTCTCCTGACAGCAGTTCTGTGCCCAGAGTACCTGTGCCACGTGTACGTGCGGAGCGACGGGCTGGCCGGCGTGGTGGTGGCAGACAACGAGTACCCCCAGAGGGTTTGCTTCACCTTGCTGGACAAGGTGAGTGCTGGGGCAGGGAGCAGCTCCAGAGCCTGGGGAGGGGGCTGCTCCAGGGGGTTCCTCCAGATCTGCACCCCCTCAGGACGAGGGGATGATCCCGTGAAGGAGCTGAGAGGGATCCGCTGGTTTCCAGCCCCCGTGGAGTTGGCTCTGCCCACCAGGGCTTCATCCCAGCTCCCTCCACCAACACCTCGTCCTCCCTGTTTGGTTTTTGGGTGGAAAAAACGGGTCTGGCCCCACTCCTGGCGTTGCCAAAACGCAGCAGTGAGCTGGCTGGCTTTGGGGATGGTCAGGGACAGCCAGCCCTGCCCAGCACGGGCACTGCTCGGTCTGCCCTTCCCTGGGGGAGCTGGTTTCTATCTCTAACCTCATCTGATTGCAAAAAGGGAACGAGGAGGAGGAGAAAATTCCCCTTTTTTGGAGGAGCAAACCCCTCCTGGCTGTACCCTTGCAGGTGCTGGATGAGTTCTCCAGGCAGGTCAGCAAACTCGAGTGGCCCTCGGGATCCCCGGCGACCATCAGCTACACAGCCTTGGACGAGTACCTCAGCAAATACCAGGTCCAGCCCCCCCTCCAGGACCCCCCAAAACTGCTCTCCACGGCCCCCCCAAGGGGGGGGGGACTGCAGTGCCACCACCTTGTCCCTCCTCCCCCAGAACCCCCGCGACGCCGACCCCATGACCAGAGTGCAAGCAGAGCTGGACGAGAC